TATGTAAAATGGGGTGTAGAACAATAAAAGTTAATTAAAAGAGTATGATAAAAAGCACGGTTTTGAAAAAACTTGAGGTTTGTTTTAGTAAAATTTGGTACAAGTAATCGTTGAGAAGAGTTAGTGAATTGTGTCCTCAGCAAAACCACTTAAAAAAATTAATTTGACTAATACTGAATGGGATACTATTAAGGATCTTCTACCTATATTAAAGCCATTTGCTAAAACAACAGAATTTTTAGGAGGAAGTAGTTATTCAACAATTAGCTTTATGTTTTATGTGATTTCGATTTTAGCCTCTGATCTTGTATTAATTGATAACAATGATACTTATGTAATAATTGATTTTGAGTCAAGTGCAACTGCATTCGATGATGATATTATTTATGAAGATGCAGATAAGGAAGTAGATAAAATAACTAGTAGAACTTGCCGAATTTAGATTAATACACCCCAAAATTGTAATAGGCTCAAAAAGATCAAAGTTGCTTTAAATAAAAGCTTGCATCATTATTATTCTGTTCCTTCCAAAGTTGGTACACTAGCAGCATTGTTAGACTCCCAGTGTAAATCTCTTAGCTTTGTTTCTGAAAATAAAAAATCCAAAACAATAAAAGCATTAAGAAATATAGTTGAAAGTCTACAATCTAATCATAAAGAAATTCAACAAACAACTAAAAGTGATAATTCACTTATTGCTCGAATATTTCAACAACAACATTCTCAAGTAGATGAAGTAACTGACTACCTTGCTCAACCACAAATTTCTCCAACACTTAATCCTTTTAGCTGGTGGATAAATAATCAAGAAAGATTTCCTACAATTATCAAGCTTGCTCGCAAATACCTCTCTATCCCTGCAACATCAACACCTAGTGTGCATCTCTTTTCAGATTCTGGAAATATCATGTCTTCAAAACGCACCAATCTTAAACCACAAGTATTTGAACAACTTCTTTTTTTAAAAAGAAATTATAATTTAGTCAGTGACATATTTCCAAAATAACGAAGTTCAAAATACTATGCATTGAATGCACTGTAAGTATTGCACATTTGAAATTTATTTCATACATTTTTAGTTTCATAACAAACTACTAAGAAATTTAATATATTCTCGGTGGTTATCAATAAAGTGATAGATGAAAATTGAAATGCGAGTTAATAAAAAAAACTAAATTGTAGTTTTTTTTTTTTGCAAAAATACTACAGTTATTAAATTTATTAGGCTAGTATTTTGAAATTTATGTAACAGGCGAGCAAATACTGCAATAGTCATAAATTAATAAAATTCTCAATCACTATAAGTTATTATAGCTATATAAAACATTGATTATAGTCCAATATGTATACTTATGGTTTGGAATATTTGAAATTCACGAAATTATAATTAGAACTACCAATTCGATTTGGCCGATTTTAAATAAACCTTTTTATTCGGTTTATCCGAATATCCGCCGGAGTTAGTCAAAGACAGACCGGTTTATCTGAACGGATAGACGGATCCCATCTCTAATTACATAAATTACTTTGTTACGTTTCATGTAAATTACATTGTAACTTACGAAATTGCAATGTAACTTTACATTGAATAGCGCATTGTCACATGATAGTTTTACCGATATTACAAAGGTTTAGCCAGCGCTAATAGATATCCATTATTATGTTCGGAATTGTAATTTTTTTTTTTTTTTTAATGCAAGCATTATAAAAATTTTTGCAAAAATATTCACACGATAAAAATTACATCTAATTTTGATTTCAGAAGATTACACAAAATTTCGTAAAATAACGTAAAATTACAGTAATTTTCCATCCCTACATGCAGTCCAAATTTTCCGGAAATGGCCAGCATTATGCAAAATTATGCAGAATTGTAGAGCATGAAGATCATTCGGGAAGACAAAAAAAATAAGAAATACGAAAAATATGAAAAACGACAGCCTAAACCTATCTTGGTGCACTAACAAAAAATGTCGGGAACGCAATTTTACATATAAAAATAGCTAATTTGATAACTCATTCCCATATCTGGAAAATTTGGACTGCACCCTGCTGTTGTCCACAGTTATGACTCTAAACCGATATGTCAAAAAGCTAAACTTGACGGCTGTCAAATTGTTATAATATTAACTTACATCGTAACTTAATAATATTCTACGATGCCAATCATTCTTTATATGAACTATTGGGATGAATACTAAAAACTAAAGTTGGGCTCAAAGCTTTTCTGATTGAAAACTTTATTTATTAATCAAGTTTCGGTATAATGATCTTTACTAATAGAACAGGCCATTTCACTAAAGTGTGAATGACTTATAAAATTTTCTTTATGTATTATGTAATATATTATTTAAAGTAAATTCTCGAAAGAAAAGGTTTGTAACGTACATTGTAATAAGAGTAATTAATTAGATGCATTCACCTCAAATCCTTTACGATCTTTGAAAGTGATTAAAGCTTCAATTTGTATATTTTGTAAATACATGATATGCCAATAAGTTAAATAACATTTGCTTTATGTATTATTCAAGAAAGTTAAACTACGTTTATTACATTCTGCGTCACTCCTATTCTGTGTTAGAGTTATGATCAAAAACTTAGTTACGACAAATAACAAATGTCGATTATTATGACACGCTGTCACGACATTTTTGACGTAATATATGTCACCAAGTTTTGCATTTCTACTCAATAATATATTCCAATTAGTGATGTCAATAATGTATATTGTAGTTAAAACTGATAAAATAGAACCGATATAACTCATATAATTATATTAAAAATATCGGTTAAAATTAAACCGTCGCTAATATCAAATAACATCAAGACAGATAATTTAACAATTCTTATGTCGATTAATCAAAAATATTTACTTGATGTGACTAACGTATAATGTAAAATACCACGCAAGTCTAGAAGAAGGCTTGGTTGTTATTTAAAAACAGCATATGAACGAAATTCTTCATCCTAAAATGATTTTATGGAGATCGAAGAATCGACTCACAATTTTAAGCATATAGAATCTATGGCTTTCAGAAATCGAAAAGAACTAACATTACAAAAGGATAAAAGAATAAGAATTACGGGAAGGTGCTAATTGACGAAAATTCCGGTTGATCGGAAGCTAATATGTTTAACACAAATAACACATTCAATAATGAAGAGTTTTATTTCATGAATCAAAATTTCCATTTCTGTTTTTATTTAAATTCTGATACATCTATAACATCTGAAACAAACTTAATCTCGAAGACACAGCAAATCTTATCTTTTTATAACACGGAATTGTATTGTGAAAATTTTAAACCACAATCTAAACCGACATCAAGCAAAGGACGTGAGAATATGAACTTTGAAGCATCGAATATTGTTGACGAGGTCTTAGGGATTGGGAACGATAATAATTAGCTTTAAAAAAAAACTTTACAGAAATGCTAAATTCCTTATTTTCTTAGTTTATATCAAATTTTATCATGAATATTCTCGACATCATTAAATCAAACGAAACTTTTGTGTATTAAATCGAACTATTATTAAATTAAAAGAATTAGTAAACGAACATAAATGTTCTGAAAAAATTTAAACGGAGGACAAATTTGATAATTTTAGAATTGATTATATTTTGGAGTACTGTACTTTTAGTTTCAGCCAACAACTTAATGATAGTAGTGCAACAAAATATTAAGTTGCGTTTTCTGATCGAATTTTCAGTGTAACATATCAAAAACCATCTTAGTCATTAATTTTTTTTACTTACTTTATTTTATTCAAATAATTATTACGAACTTCGTTCTATTTCTATAATCGGCAATATTCCAAAAAAATTAAGAAATGTGCATCGCTAATCTAAGGAGCATTGTTTTTGGTTTACAGTATATAAAATTAGAAAGTTACTTTTATGTGGTAATCAAAGCATGCCCCTTAGACATGCATTTGGGGCTTTGGGAAACTAGTGTACGAAATTTTTGGGTATACCAAAAACTTTATGATAGAACCCTAGCTAAAAAGAATCAGATCATCAGTCGGACACATTGTTTCTACTTAGTTTCTATATAACGTCCTTCGTTTCACCTCAGACAAAAATAAACATTATATTTTTACTACCACTACTTACGTATGTACCTCTCTAGTAGTACGTCATACGTTTGGCACCTACAATAAAACTTAAAATGTTTGTTTATGCACTTATAATACAGTAATAGCAATGAGATATTGATAAATTTGGAAAACATTTAAAGTTTGTGCAGTTTATTATACAGCTTTGTGATTGGTACTTATAAAGAGTGATCGATCTCCTTATTGGTTTATTGTCATGTGATTGTACTTTCCCAAGTTTGGTCTTGAGGGTTTCGGGTATTTCGGTGTTTCGCATTTTTTTTTTTAGAGAAATTTAGAATGATCTGCATGATCTGCATGTTTTTTATTTCCCGAATATTAAATTTTAGTGCAATCTTCACATATTGTTCTTGTCGATATGAAACATCTTGATCATGCATGAATTACAATCCATTCTAGCAAAATTATCGTTTTTGATATCCTTTTTATATCCTTATAAGGAATATTAAAAGGCTGTTTATCTGAAATAGTGTATCAAGAATAACATTCTGCATGGCGTATTATGAAAAAAAACATGCATCCCGGAGCTACAGAAAATAGTTTGAATAGTCAGAATATTCGAGATTATTTAAAATATATTCACTTTTTTTTTCCTGTATTTCTTAATAATAAACAAGTTCTACATTATTGCAAAGTTATTGATTTTGCTTTAAGACAAAATGGAAGAAAGACGTAGCGTCCAACGATCGAATACATCGAAAGTAAGGATAAATCATATTAACATAAAAGTATTTTATTTAAAAACTAAAGACATGAAATTCTACTAAGTGAAATATATTTCTTTTAGTCGACAATACATACACGTAATAATTCAGATGGATCACTTTTCAACTCAGACACAGAAAAACTTGATGAAACAAAGGCAGCCGTTATTCAGGCTAAAGATTTGATGAAAGATTTTAGCGATCCGTCCAATTTATATGGGTTTAAACTTTTAGTTGAAGATCTTAGGTTAAAGCTTCCATCAAAAATATTAATTAACGCACTTAAACTTTTAAGTGATGTCTCCTTATTTGATTATTATACGGAAGATATCATTTCACATTTTGAATTACATCTTCGTACTTGGGTGGCAACTCTTGAAAGAGTGGTCTGTTCTTCTATAGCTTCTATTTTTTTGAACCAGGAGTTTTATGATAAACTTTATAGTAGTTTAGTTAGTTTCATTGACATTCATTATCATATAACGTTATTTTTTAAACAAGAGGTTGATCTTGATATCGCTGGCGACAATTATTTACATTTTCAAAATTATAATGTTAATTTCTTATTGATCCACTTGCGTGATAGTTTACATAGTATACGTAATAATAAAACACGTTCTGATGAATTCTTAAAGCAAGGAAAAGATTTTCTTTTATCACTCATTCGCACTATTCCTAATGGTGATTCGTCCGTAAATATTCTGGAAATATTAGGTGGATCACCCGTAACCGAAACTTTACCAAAACTTAATGGTTTTTTTAATCTTAATAATTCCATACCTAAATGGTATCAAAAATGGCGTGAGTTCTTATTTATCCATTATTCTTTAGAAGATTTAATTAGGGATTCAAATCATAGTATTCTAAAACATCACAACGAGGCTTATATTTTAGAATTTCTTTGGCAATATATTTTTGATCCGGATCTTAATCAAAACGAATTAGATGATGACGTCTCAGAAATTTTAGGCAGTCAAGAAGAATTTTCAAGTCTTTTCATCGAATATAGACTTACCGACTTACCTTATTTTTTATGGTTTGGAATATTAGATTTTGCTCAAAATCTATGTCAGAAAATTTCACAACCGTCCATCTTGACTTTTTTTTATCACCTGGGTTTAAAAGTATTGAAAAAATCTCAATTTGATTATATCCAATTTAAATCTTTGGAATTACTTTTATCATTATCTTACAAAGAACCCGAATGGTTTGAGAGCTTGGTGAATCAAGAAATCAATAAATATTGTGATTCATTATCAAAAGATTCTTTACAAAAATTTAAGATTCTTGTCGATAATGTAAATTTAAAACTTCGATTAGACAACAAATTTATTAAACATTTAACTTCAACAACAAAATTCAAAGAATCTTGGCTCTTTAAGGAAAAATTGTCGGCAAGAAAAAGTGATACTCTGTTTAAAGAAATTATTATAGAACAATTAACATGCCCGATTACTGGTGAAGTAACTAATGATTTTCTTATTTTGGGGTGTAATCATTTGATTAGTTATAATGCTATAAGGACACGAAAAATTATATTTTCTATGAAAAGTAGAAGTTTTAAATGCCCTTTTTGTAAAACTGTGATCAAACTAGAATCGATATATAAACTTTCAAGGAACGCAACACTTAAAGGCCTTTGTAAACCGTTGGAACAAATTGGTTATTCGATGGAAAAACAGCAAATGAGCATCAAAATGGATGTCGAATTGAAAATATCACCATCAAAGGTTACGCTGCCTACTTTCAATAGAGCAATTAAAGCATTACGACAACATGAGTATTCAACAGCAATAATTTGGTTAACTCGAATTTTACACTTTTATCCCAAGAGCTATTCTATTCGATGTAAGAGGGCATTCGCATCTTGGAAAATTGAAATGTATCCTCAAGCTTTGAATGATCTTACGATAGCGATTCGATTAAGACCAACAAAATCTCTTGCTTATATTTATAGGTGTCATATGTATTTCTTTTTAAAAAAGGACGTTGATGCACTAAATGATTTAGAAGCTGCTCTAAGAATAGATCCTGATAATATAACGGCGCATTTATATAAAGCAAAAATATGTTCCGACAAAAAGAAATTTCATGAGGCGCAATTTGAAATTAGAAAAGTATTGCATAAAATTAATTTCGCACATCCAATCTTATCAATTTTATTCGAAAAGTTTGATAAACCTCATAAAATGATTTTTGGTTTGGGAAATTCTTTACCTATTCGACTTTATAATACGGATCATGCTACGATATCTGGATACATCTTATTACAATCATGTAATAATAAAGAAATAGTAATGTCGTGTTGTGTTCAAGCTATTAATAATGATGATAAAAATGTAATAGCTATTGGAATCAAAGGAATATTATATTATACGATGGGTTCTTTCGGCAAAGCTTTAGTTTGTTTTCAGGAAATTTTGAATATATTTCCAAGCACGATCGCTTTGGATTGTTACGAAAAAACCTATCAGACGATTGAAAAACATAATGAGAGATGGCTTAAACGTGTAAATAAAATGGTTAAGAAAAGTTTAAATCAAACAAATACTTTTAATTCATGTCGAAATGAATTTAATTTATTCAAAGATCAAGATGAACATTTCGTACGACTTAATGTTATGTTAGATACCAACCCTAATAATGCACTCGCATTAGAAACTCGAGGATTGGTTTATTTTGGATTAGGTAGATTAGACGAAGCTCTTTCAGATTTAACTAAGTTGATGGATGTTAAATCAGATAACGCATCAACTTTAAGATATCGAGGTGCAATTTATTATATGATGAATAAATTTAAAGAATCTCTTTCGAATCTAAACCGATCATTGGATCTTGATTCAGATAATGCTTTCGCATTAAGAAATCGTGGTGCTACTTTTCGCATGATAAATAGACATCCGAGAGCTCTTAAAGATTTAAATAAATCATTAGCAATAGAACCAAATAATGCATTTGCATTAATGAATCGTGGAGCAACTTATCGATTAATGAGTAGATATGATGAAGCTCTTTTGGATTTAAATAAATCATTAAGATTAGAGCCAAATGATGCGTTTGCTTTAAGAAATCGTGGTGCAATTTATTGCATGTTGGATAGATACGAAGAAACGCTTACTGATTTAAATGAATCATTAAATATAGAACCGAATAATACTTTTGCTTTAAATACTCGTGGTGCGACTTATCGACTTTTGAATAGATATGAAGAATCGCTTACAGATTTAAATAAATCTTTAAATTTGGATTCAAATGACACGTGGACATTAAGTGATCGTGGTGCAACTTATCGATTGATGAATAGGTTTTACGAAGCACTTGCAGATTTAAATAAATCATTAAAAATTAATCCAAATAACGCATGGACATTAAGTGTTCGTGGAGATACGTATCGTATGTTAGAAAGATATGAAGAATCGCTTACAGATTTAAATAAATCTTTAGAAATCGAACCAAACAATGCAGATACATTAAGATTTCGTGGGGAAACTTATTGTAAATTAGGAAAATATAAAGAAGCACTTGAAGATTTAAATATATCATTGGAAATTGATCCAAATAACGCATTTGCTTTAAAAGTTCGTGGTGCAACTTTTCGACTTATGAATAGATATAGGAGTGCTCTTAATGATTTAAATAAATCATTAAAAATTGAACCGAATAATTCAGATGCATTAAAATTTCGTGGAGAAGTTTATTGCAAATTAGGAAGACCCGATGAATCTCTTAATGATTTAAATAAATCATTAGAACTTGAACCAAAAAATGTATTCGCATTAAATAATCGGGGATTAACTTATAAATCAATTAATAAACTTGATGAAGCACTCGCAGATTTAAATAAATCATTAGAAATTGAACCAAAAAACGCTGATACATTAAAATTTCGTGGTGAAGTTTATTGCAAATTAGGAAAATATAAAGAAGCACTTATTGATTCAAATAAATCATTGGAAATTGAACCGGATGATGCCTTTGCATTAAAAGTTCGTGGTGCTGTTTATCACATGATGGATAGGTATGAAGAATCACTTGCTGATTTAAGTAGATCGTTAGAACTCGAACCAAATGATCCGTTTGCATTAAGAAATCGTGGCGCAACTTATCGTATGTTAAGCAGATATGAAGAAGCTCTTAAAGATCTGGATAAATCTTTAAAGCTAGAACCTGATAACGCATTTGCGGTAATGAACCATGTGGCTATTTTTTATTGATTAAAAAAAGTGGTTATTATAACTTTTCAAATTTTAAAAATTTAAATATGCTTGGAACATTGTAGTTTAATTAAAATTTTTGAATTTATTTTATTATCCAACATTTTTGTATAAAACAATAAATGTGAATAATGTGAATGTAATTATTCTAATAAAAATTTTTTAAATAAAAAAATTCTGAAATCGAAATTGTGATTATGGCGTGACCTCTGCAGATCATCATGCCATGTAAATTAGCCGATTCTAATAAATTTTTCGATTCTTGGAGAACGCGCAGTGTGTAATTTCGAATTTTGGCCTAAATAAAGCCTAATTCGGGACATTATTCAAAATAACGCCCCTGCGCGCACCATCTAAGAAATTTTTTATTTGAATTTTATGAATCTATAGATTTCAAATAAAAAAATTCATCAAATTTGATTAGGTAATTGCTGAGATATCTTCGCTTTGCTCAAAGTTTTAAGAAAAATTTGACGCAGTTTCTATTTAATAAACATTTATCCATATTTAAAAGTTTTTGAGCAAAGATATCTTAGTAACTACCTAATCAAATTTGATGAAATTTTTTATTTGAATTCTATGGGTCTATAGAATTCAAATAAAAAAAACTTCATTGAATATGATCAGATAGTTGCTGAGATTAGTGTTCAAAGATAAGCCGGCTTATCACGGCTTGCTGCGGCTTAACGAAAAGTCTACGGACAGTGCTTAGGGACAGTGCAGGGTCGGAAAGGTCGGAAAGTGTATGATCACGTGATTTACGGACAGTGCAAAATAACGAAACCGATATTTAAGAATCTTTTAAATATTTATGCTGTGTAATAAATAAATAAATCCCTAATGCTTTAAAAATAATTTAATATCTCTCATTGAACAAATAATGGAAATTTTATAGAGAACTTATAAACTTGCATAAAATATTAAATATTACTGCTGAAGCTGGAAACGGTATTATGCTCAAATTTTTATTTTTAGTAATTATTCTCCTTATTTTATGTACTTCTTATATAGTTTGTGGCATAGCGGGGGATTGAAACCCTCAGCAAGGGATAATAACCCGCAATGAGGGATTAAAACCCCATAGGGTACGAATTAAAGATATATAAGGATGTGGTTTCAGTATATAAAGATTGTTAATAGTATTGAGCATTATGCCCGATGTATTGATTTATATTAATAAAGAGAAACCTTACCTGTAATTATGTGTGCTAGTTTATCGTTTCAAACCATTTAACCTTAATCACTATTTGTTCACGATCGAAGCTAAATTCCTACAAAGCTCTCACACTGATCGTAACAACGGCTAAAACCAAAATTGAGCTTATTTTAATACGGCATATCCAAATTTTCTTGTATGCATTTTTTTTTTTAGTTAGAATAAGAATTTATCATTTTTAACCTCGATCACACTAATTGTTAATTATTGTACATTTTCATCCATAGGTTCTAAATTGGTTTTATATATAATATAATAAATATAGTTATTATCGGCTTAAACAAGAATACACCATGGCAAGAATTTTATTAATACTCAGAAATTGAAGATCGTTACCTAGTAACTCTGAAACTTGCAGGTAAAATACGCCTTATGACAATCATCTTAGAGAGGCGAATATAATCAAAAAAGAAACATGAGTGATTGTCAATACAGTTGTAAAAGGTGGCGAATCTTAAAGTACTTATCCAGGAAAAGCTCATGTTTCATTGTCATGCACGTTTTAGAGAAATTGAAAATTTTAGTTATAGTGGAGGAAGAAGTAGTTTAGTTTCCACATTGTAAATATGAATAAGAGAAATGTAATGAATATCTTACCAGTTTTTTTATATGGACCAAGGATTTGTGTTTGAAACTTCTAATTTATACAAAAAAAAAAGCCAACTCTTAAATTAATTTTTTTAAATATAAATTACAAATAAAAGAATGTGTATGGCGCAAAGTTGCATTTTCATAGCCCTTAGTATTAATAAATTAGTAGTAATTATATAAGGAATAAAAAACATTTTTTTACTTATCTCTCTTTTTGTAATAGTCATGCTACAATCACAACCAAAAATCCCAGAAATCGGCAGTGAATTTCCAACAGTAGAAAGTTTCAAGGAAGCTGCCCAAGAAGGTGCTAAAGCAGCAGGCTTCGCTTTTAGTGTATCATCATCAAAAATGACACGTAGGAAAAAGGTGGCCATACGCCTTTTGTTACTCTGCAGTGTACAATGGGAGGCAAATATAGAAATAACCATGAAGTTACAGAAGAAACCCGAAAAAGAGTCAAATCAACAAAGTGCCAAAACTACCTTGTTAAATTGCATGCTGTTTTAGATGAGAAAGCTGGAGTTTGGGTGGTACGATCTTCTAAAAATCAACATAACCATGAACTTCTCTCAGAATCACAAGTTCACTGTCTTTATCAACATCGAATTCTTAACCCAGAACAGAAAGAGATAGTTCATATGATGCTTAAAAGTGGGGTTCCAGTTCAGTCAGTTGCTGATACAATATATTGGAAACATGAAACTGTATATACAAAAGATATTGTTAATGAACGTGACAGAATTAAAAATGCTTTGAATGAAGGATCAAATCGTGATATGACTATGCATCTTATACAAATGTTGGAAGAGCGTCAATACGTAGTTCGTCATGTATTATCAAAAGATGGTTCTATAAAAAACTTGTTCTTTACCCATATTGAAGCAGCTTACCAAACTGCTATATGTCCAGAGGTACTTATAGTAGATGCAACGTATAAAACAAACTTATATAAGCTTCCTCTTATAAATGCTATTGGCATCAGTAATATTGGTAATACAAAATCTCTTGATACCTATCAAATCGCAATGGCATGGGTAGAAAATAAACAAAAATATACATACGAATGGTTTTTAAATACCTTAAAAGAAATAATATATAATAGTTTCTTTTACACCCTGGAAGTATTTGTTTCAGATAGATCCCAAGCCCTTCGAAAAGCAGCAAATATAGTTTTTCCAGATGCAAAAAAAATGGTATGCATCTGGCATATGCTTGTGCAAAATCTAAAAACTGCATGTAGAAAATTTTTTGACAATGAAGATGATTATAACAAGTTGTTGCTATCAATTCAAAAAGTCGCTTATGCAGAAGAGATGAGCATAGTTGAAAAAGCATTCGATAAAGTAAAAGAAGCAGCAATAAAGAGTAGAGATCCTAACTATATTACGGCTTACTTTGAAGAATAGAAAAAGGATGAGAAATGTTGGATGAACATTTTTACAAAATATTATCCACATATGGGGGTTCATTCGATACAAAGAGCGGAAGGAAGTTATAGCTGTTTGAAAAAAGCAATAGAAGCAGCAAGTGGGTTAGATCAAGTATTTTTACATATTGACTGTGCCTTTCGTTAGCATCAATTAAAAAAAAAATGGAGCATTTGGTTTAAATATTGTTTCTGTTGACTTATTTATACTTAATAATAAAAGATTTGAACAATTGGTTGGAAAAATTTTGAAATGGGCAATTGATCAAATTAAAAGAGAAATATGTGAAGCTGAGGAAAAAACAGTAATAATGTATGTAGCTTGAAGTTAAATTTTAAACTACTATGCCGCTACACAATTCCACTAACAGGGCCTATTCCACTTTCTATAATACATTCTCGCTGGCTCCTAAAGCATGATTCAATATCCATATTGCCTTCATCCTTGTCGCCTAATATAGCTATTAATAAGGCTTTATATATGTTAGAAGAAAAATATAGAAGCTTAAATGACTGTGGGTCAAAAGCTACGCTTTTGAATAAAATCAATACTCTAATTGATGAGGAAATAGTAACTCCAAAAGCACCATTACATATTGAAAATAGGGGCTGACCAACTTCTACTAAGCGTGATCCTTTACTTAGTGAACGTCAAGATAAAGCTGCTAAAAAAAAAGAGAAAAACACACCTAAGCTTATAAAGGATTTGCAAAAATCACACCAACCACAGCAACCTTTATATCATGATCAAATACCTATTTATATGCATGAGCATATAAAAAAGATAATTAACGTGGATAGAGATGGTAATTGTGGCTACAGAGCACTAGCAGTATGTTTAGGGAAAAGTGAAAGTAAATGGTCAGAGGTACGAAAAGAATTGCAAAAAGAGTTGATTGAAAATGAACAATTTTACCGGACCTTGTTTTTAGCCAATAATAATTATGAAGCAATTATGAGAGAAATCTCATGGATAGATGGCCTCTGCACATTCGAGCACTGAATGCGAATGCCACAGATGGGAGATATTATAGCTAATACATACCAAAGGCCATTATACTTTTTTTCACTACAAATTAATCTTACTTTTCTTCTATATTACCAACCATTAAATTGAAATAAAGCTCTTGCAATAGCTATTGTTAATAATAATCACTATGTAGCTATTATACTAAAACCTGGTGCTTCCGTATCTCCAATTATAAATCGATGGTCACAATTTGCTACCCCAACTGTAGAAAAATGGAAGCTACTAATTCAAAGCTGTATTGACCAATTCCTTTCAATAAGTAGTTAAGTTTACAAAACAGATCTGAAAAGACAAAATAACAAATTAGTTACAGAAATTAAATTTTAAATAGATATAATGAAAAGTAAAAGTTAAAATACTTTTATAGTTAAGCTTTGATTATAATTAAATAAAATGCAATACTAGTAGTTAGCTTTTAACTTAAAAGTTTTATTGATTCTACATACATAGTAGCTCAAAACTGAAATTACAGTTGTTAAAAATAAAATTCAAGTATTAGGCTAAAATTCTGAAATTAGTAAAAAATCTTTTAATGATAAAATAGATTATCATTACTTAAGCTGCACTGTCTGTAAATCACGTAATCATACACTTTCCAACCTTTCTGACCCTGCACTGTTCGACCCTGCACTGTCCCTAAGCACTGTTAGTAGACTTTTCGGCAGCTTAATGTGGCTTATCACGTAATAAATTCGAATTTATCACATGATAAGCAACATTAAGTCGCAGCAAGCCGTGATAAGCTGGCTTATCTTTAAACACTAGCTAAGATATCCTCGCTTAAAGGTTTAGGGAAATTTTGGCGCAGCTTCTATTTTGATTAGTAGTGTGCTATTTATATGATATCTGAAAATTTTGATCAGCAAAAATTTTAGTATACAGTACTGTATCCATAGCTGCCGCAACAAATTTGACCCGGCATATTCTCGATTTTGATTGGCTAAGAGTGACGAAAAAAAGATTAGACCGAAATTACTCATAATTTTACTAATGAAAGCATAGCCGCCTATTAAATGAAAATTGTTTCAGGGCCAATTTTACTATATTGCAGGCTTATTTTTTAAGAATTTCTATTTTTGTAATAAAAAAATTAAAAAGTTAATTCTAGCCAGAAATTAGTAACCAAATTTGTAATGTGGGCCAAAATTTCGAAGATCCTCGGCCATTAGCCAATCAAAATCGAGGATCTGCCAATCCAAATTTGTTGCGGCAGCTATTATTATGGTTAATGTACGTACATACATACTGTACGTACTGTACTAGGGTGGTAAATCAACTAAGTAAATCAAAACTATGTGAGCATTATTAGTAATTTTAGATTTTTCATGTTATATGGATGAAAATTAATTTGATTACATTTTCGTTTAGAGCAAATTAATATATTTATTAAAATTAATTACTTTAAAATGGTGCAACTTATTGAAAACCTAATGAATTACTTTGAAATTTTCACAAGTAACTTATTAAATGTTGGAGAATAAAGTTATGTTTTTAGATTTTCTATTAACATATAAATTTTTTTTTTTTTTTTTTTTTTTTTTTTATATTGCCAAACGTAGAAACTTTATTAGTCATGATTCACACCTTTTACAGAGCAATTGATATACAGTTTCTAATTACATTTGTGCTACTATTACTAGTCACCCAATGTGGCATTATACT